CTGTTTATAACTGTGACTTCTGATTGTTGGTCACCTGAGATATGAGAAGTTCAGGCTCCTRTGCCTGTCTTTACATTCAAACTGTAGCAAGGCAGAGCTCATACTCCTGAGAGAATAAACACACACACATAGCTGCACAGAGCAACATAAATAAATCACAGTGCCCTGTCAACATGCACATGAACACCGGCACAGCATAGCCTGCTTCACCCTCTTCTTCCTCTCCAGCTGATCAGGATTAAAGTCTGCTAGGTGTGTGTACATCTATGGATGCATCCATGGCATGCAATGCTTCAGTAGCTAGCCCTAGTCTTTTCAAGATGTGGAGATTTGCAGCCCCACTACAGTTGCTGGTATTTAGACGTCTTCGACTTGCTGACTAGTTGAGCTTGAAGTTGGTTCTTACTCAAACATACCCACTAAAAAGAGAGAGCATGCCTAAATGGAAGATATATAGAAACAGAGTTTAATGAGAAAATCGGACATATTTCAGCRATTGAGGTCTGAGCCTGACCAGCTAGTTAGTTGCAAGCAACAGGTTTCTTTAATCTCTTGTCTCCTCTGTCTTACACTTGTTCCTTCCTGATGCAACTGGATCCCTCCCTTTTTCTACCACTGTTCCCTCCCCTAAATTTGTTCAATCATCTTAACACATCCCATAATCAATTCTGCACAGACTTTCCCCTGCTTTTCTTAATGAGGGGGACCTTCCTGCACCCCTTTTAACCTTAGGGTGTTCTGAGACAGCCTTGACTCATCTGGATTTTGCACTGGGACAAGGGGTGTCTGCAATGCTTTTTCTACCCCTACCAGCACTTTTAAATGACTGGTTAAATAAATCTGTGTCATGGTTAAGGATGCCAGCCTGTAAGGGAGCAAGTCCTTGCCCAAGTTCTGCGCTCTTCTTGATGAAAGAATACCAAGTGAATTACTCAGCCACTGAATTGCAGTAGCATAATATAACTATGGTAAGTAAGTAGATACAGAGTTTACACCAGATTGTTGATGGGAGCTTCCATTAGAGCTAATAAATTTTGCTGTTGAGAAAATGAAATGGAAATACTTCTGTAGAATTGTGTGGTAACGCATTTTTTCTCTGATGATATTCTGATTTACATGAGCRCTTTCTAACCGAAGGATTTATTTTTTAAATAGAAGCGCAAGTGGGAGCCGGACACAATGAGATTTCCTGCTTCAGTAGCTAACCCTATGTAGATTAACGATTCACTTCAGCTCTTTCTGAATAATATTGGTATAGCAAATTATCCTGTACAGTAGGATGCACTTTTCTATGTCTTATGAGGCATTCACAAGAAGGTAGARTGCTATAACTTATGGAAGTGTCCTACAAAATGTGCTTCATAGTTCTCACTGCTGAGACAATTACCAGTGAAAATGAGACCCAAGACTCATTTTGTTTCTCGTCTTGAGGATTATGTTGCCTGTAATTTGGGAAAGGTTTAAAGGACTATTTAGACTATTTCCCTCCCACTCCCATAATTATACTGCTATGGTCACATGAGTAGAACAAGTAGAAAAAAGCACCAGCTGTGCTTTGGCAGCTGTGTTAATTGTCTTTTGCATGCTACCAGGGAGCTTGGTACTGCTCCATTTGCACATTTATATAAGCAAACTTTGGTCTCTAGGTTACATTCTATTGGACTTGTGGAAATCCAGATGTGCTCTAAGATTGTGCAGTTCCTCTGTCCCTTGACATGTCGGTTTATTGATACTATCTGAAAAGCAATCCAGGCATGTTCCATTGATTACCCCTGGAGAGTAGCTGTACTGTTGCAGTGTGTACTGGGAAAGCTGGCTTCAGAATACTGAATAATTTCACTTTTTTGATGGTGGAAACAAATGCAGCAAAACTCAGTGATACATTAGACTTARGTAGTTTTCTCATGCCAATAAATGCTTGCAGGTTTTGTATTTGCCAAACAACTCCACAATAAGAGTTACTCTTACACGTGGAGAAGGACAGTTTTCCAGCTGATTGGAAAGTCAGTGTTACTTCCAATACTTTGATTTGCTTTGAGMATAATCATACAGCTGCCATTAATTTTAGTCTGTTTGTTGTCATTGCCAWCTTGCTGAGAAAGCACAGTAAAACATGGAATGCAGCATGTGTGCTCTCTGCCTCRTAGCACTGTGGTGAGCTGGTCCTGCCTGGTGTAGCTGACTGAGCTGGGGCAACTGTGTTCTGGATTCATGCTAAAGCTGTRCATGTCCAGCTGTCTCCAAAGGAAGGGTATTTCTAAAGAAGCATGGATTAGCATCCTTTACTGTCTYCAGCCTAGCCTTGGAAAGATCAGGAATAATATCAACCAGGCCATGTTTTTGATGTATGCGCTTGTTCATTTTCCTTTGTCTGTAGCTAGCATTAACAATCTACCAATATTTAAAAATACTGATCCTTAGTTCCAACTCTATCCAGCAAATAATTTTGTTTTATACAATACAGTCTTGCAATGCTGCTTGTTGGAGTAGAGACTTGGAAGAGAGAAGAAAATGCTTCTTAGGTCAGTGGGTTGCAGATAGCTCGGTGCTGTTGCAGAAGGARCTCKTAGAAGCTGAGACAGTAGTAGTCTKGATCAGGYTGAAAACTGTAGCTGAATAGTAGYTCAAACCAGCTCTTTATGTGTATTCTTTTATTTACAATAAGAAGCTTTTTTTCTTGTCTGATTTAGGTTAAGTGAAATGATATCCACTCCACTGTGATGTGCAATATGCTGTTTATTCGCCACTGGTGGGGTGTTTTTTTTTTGTTTTTCAGTTTAATTTACAGAGCATGCTAAAAATAATAAAATCCAAAGGTATATAATAAATTGCAGTCAAGCGGTGCACTATCTGAAGGCAAGAAACAAGACTGCAAACAAATCCTCAGAAAAAGGTGCAGGAAATGTTTTGGGAAGAGGGCTTCAATTTGAAAAGTCACTGTAAAAAGTTTCACTCTCCYRCACAGCCTAGTGTTTCAAAGCAAATAAAAAGAAAGACTTCCTGTTGATTACACCTCTTGGCCCTGCAGAGCCAATGCATCCAAGATGTTTGCAGAGCTAAATGTTTTTTTGGCAGTATTTAACAATGAATCTTTCCTGAAGTTTTGCAAATTTTAGGACTTCCAAARAGCAAATTATGTATACACACACCTGTGATTGTGAAATTATTGTGAGATATGTCCTAAACCACAGATCTTTCACAGTAGAAGCCCTAGCAATGTGTTTAACCTCAGTCGTTATCCATTCAACATATAAGGATCAGTCTTATTATGAGAACTTGAGGCAAATTGCTTATGTAATTTTTTTTAAAGTTTTTAGAAGTACTCTGGGATGAAATTTCTGTTCTGTGTTTTTTTACWTTTCAAAGAKCTTAAGTGGGGGTTGGGGGGGACTGTTTTGAGAGATTAATGTTTTGTTTGTCTCTGTTTATTGTAAAGACTATTAGTGACACTGATCCAGGATAGTTAAAACTGTAATTGTGGCCACAGTGRAATATAGCTGTAAATGAGCTGGAGAGAGAAAAGGGGATCTGTGAAACGGGACAAGTGATTGTATGATTCCTGTTGAAACARTGGAATGAAACACAGTTTTTTCATTCTCCAGAGTGTTTATTTTATGTTTTTGAAGAAAAATATTGAGATAATCTTCCACGAATGTGCAGTTATAGACATTTTCTTCAGGTTRAAATAAATACTATTTCACCTCTTTCTTATTCTGCTGAAAAACTCTGGCTRTTAGTGATTTATTTTCCTCACTGAAGCTATTGTGAATCTTACCACATTGTCAGCATCTGCACAGAAGGCAGAAATTATAATTGGAGATAAACGTTCCCTTTGTCTTCATCATCAAGTGTTTGGTAATACTTGCTGTACTCTGTCACTTAACACATTTTCTATTTTGTAATAGTACTGATGGTTAATAAAAACCAATTCAAGTCTTCTTGCTGTTTCTTTGATTGTTTGCTGTTGGATATTCTTTCAGTAGCTTTACTGATTGTCTAAGCATTCACAAGAGATTTTGTGTGGACTAAGTCTGAATCTTGCAGCTTCTTTGCAGTGACTATCTGATACAAAAGCATTAAGTATTAAATAAACACTGCCATGATATCCTCATGTGCGGACTCACAGGACTCACAGCATTGCATTCTAAAAATATTAACTTGTTGTATGTTCTACTTYTGTAATGAAAATAGCTGCTCCTTTTCCTTGGCTTCAGTTCTACTTTGGTAGTACATAGCTGTTGGTAGGTTAAAAACCAAACCAAACCAGGTCTGCATCACTAATGTGTGTCATTCTGCAGCTGCAAACGCATTTGTGGTTTGCATTCCAGCACAGAAATAAATCAATTGAATAGGCAGGTAAAATGGGCTATAAYGAGCATTGATTATATGCTTACATTCTGTTTGTACTGATATTTGATGTGTCTCTGTCCTATTAAGCTTTTTCATGGTCACAGTGCTGAGCTGTGTGATTGAAACAAGAATGTTTTATGGAATGATTTCAGCATGATGTGATTACCTTTCCATAGCTTAAAACTATGTTTTCCTTTAAGAAATAGAGAGTTGTAAGAGTTTGGCAACTCTTAAACATTGTGGAAGGGATGTGTCTATAAATACGCATAAAGAAACAATCCAACTCCTGCAAATTGAAAATACTTGAAAACAAATTTTGCAAACATTTGGCTGAAACGGCAGCCTAGCAATTACCTACAAAGCTATGTGAAACTTAGAGTGCTTTGTAATTCTATTTTCAAAGTCCCTATTGGCCTAATGCGACTAATTCTTTTTTCCAGAAATATTAATGGAGAATTTATTTCTGTAGTTTTAGCGTTTCAGTGTAATCCAAGGGCATATTGCATTTCCAGGGGGGAAAAACCCAGTCAAACATTGTCATATTTGCTGTTCTTAGTCTGATGCTATGAAGCAATCCAAATGAATTTATGCATTAATTATGCATTTAATTATGCATTTACATGTATTTTAACAATTCTTCTGTTTTTCAGATTTTCCAGATTGCATAYGTTATTGTGAAAGCAGCTAACTCCCCTCGCCCTGGGAATTGGATATTGGAGCGTTCTCTGGATGGTGTAGACTATCAACCATGGCAGTACTATGCTATCACAGACAGCGAGTGCCTGACACGCTACAACATTTATCCCCGGCCTGGAACCCCGTCCTACTTAAAAGATGATGAAGTCATATGTACTTCTTATTATTCCAAAATCCATCCTCTGGAGAATGGAGAGGTAAGAGGTGTTCCATATCTAACCTGGCAGGAAAAAAACCCTTTGGTTAATTGGCAAATCTGCACTCAGTAGACAGAGTGTTTGAGTACAATTGAAAAATGGCAAGAGAATCTATTTGCTGATTTAAAAAAGTCATCTTGCATGGTCCTATGAATGCGTACAAGGTTCACTCATATAAGAATATTCTTTGTGAATATAAGAATATTCACAAAGTGAACAAGAGGTTGGAACATTTATTAGGTAGGCACTAGCACTAGATAGGTTTGGGTACTTGAAATATGTTCACATGTCACTTGTGAACAAAGGTGAGAACACTTAGAAAAATCCTGGACCSAGTGAATTTATTAAAACACTTCTTTTAGAAGCATTTTCAGTCTCTGACTATTAGCCAGGATGTCAAATGGTAATGATTTTTGTCAGATTTTAATTTGATGCCTTAAAAGCTGGCTCTCTGCCCCTGTTTATGACTGTTCCTTCTCCTTTCAGAGGCCTTAACTATTCTAACATGTGTCCAGGCAGGTGAATCCTGGACCAGTCGTTTGTTTKAGCTGAGGAGGTGGAGAAGATTTGGTGGGCTTGAGAATGCGAGTCTCTGGTTGAAAGAGCAAGGCAGATTTAACGCCTGTAGCTGAAAATGCAGCTTTTCAGTCACTTAGAATGATGAGCGGGAAAGACATGTGTACCACATTCCAGCTGCGTATTTTTTTWAAACATTTTTTCCAACACTTGCTTTGCAAATGAAATTTTAGCCTCAATATTTATTTTTGTGTTATTTTTTTTCTGTTCCACACTTTAATGGTTTATTTCCAAATAAAGAGGTACAAAATTACTTTCTTCTGTTCCCCACAATGCAAAGCAACATTCACATGCAAAATTGTTAATACAGTTATTTTTAATTCCYGGATATAGATATGTATACTTTGTTTATATTCACAGAAAATTCCCAATGCTCATTGCAAAAATTGAAAATATCAACTTTCATTGAAAATATCCTGTTGATAGACTTAAAAAAGACATAAGCTTTGCTCTAACAGAATTTCAGATTGTCAAGGGTTATCAGATGAGAAATAATTTTTTTTAATCGGAAAAGTATTTGCAAATATTTTGTGTTTGTAGTTTTATCATTAGTGCTTGTATCATTTATATGGATATTCTTGTAAAAATCTAGCAGGAGCAGATAAAGTGATATTAAAGGAAATAGTGCATACATGTGCTGTATTTTAAAACTGGTTTCAACTGGGTGGTTTTTAAGGGCTGAACAGGACATGAATTAGTAATTTATCACTTGCAAAGAAATTTTWCACAGTTTCTTTGGGAGAAAATGTTTGTACTGAAAATATAATGCAAAAGTAATTACTCCCATAATTAATTTAATTTGCAGTGTTCCATTTCTTTGGTTATCCAGTTCTCTCACAGACAGATATTGATTCCAGCAGTCTGCTGTCCTCTTGGTTAAACCAGAGACTCTCTGTTCTTCACTGACTGAGCTAAACAGCAAAGAACTTTATTCATCATGCTGGCATGTATCCATGACTGAAACACTGGCTTAAAGCCTACTGAATTGAGTGGAACTTAATTCTGATCATAGGTGTGCAATTAGTAATTTTTAACTGGGCCTGATGTGCTGTAATTGATGCTCTATCCTTAACCTAGTAAATGACCAGCATCTGATACATGGTTTGTTAAAACACAAAGATGACTTTGAAGGGGAGAATGCATCTGTTCCATTCCACTTGGCAAAGGGGAATTATAAGATATAAACATACTCTATGAAAGGCATGTGATAAACCACCCTAAATTAATCTTGCCTCACACAGGCAGTTATTAATCTGAGATGTGGCCGTAATAGAAAGAGAACAGCTTGAAATGAGAAGCCTRAAGATTAACCTTTATAGTGACTGGAAGAATATCATTCCACATGCACTAATTATGTTACATTTTTAACACCACTCTTCTCACAAGTAAACCACTAGTTTCATCTGTCTGAGTAGTCAAAGGCTGCATTATTACCTATGTAACATTTACAGAGAGTTATCCCAGGTTAATGCTTTTTCATATTTTTTCAAACACATAACATGAAAAATAGCATTTCTACCAATATCATATTTACTTGCAGTTGCGTTGCTGTTGGTATTTGGCTCTCCTGGTCTTTCAGYGGAACTACATCTGCATATAATGTATTTTTGCTCCAGAACAGTGATTTTGTTCTGTGAATCAGATATTGCAGTCATCTTGTAAGACTGACAGTTATGAAATGCAACCTGCATGAGTTATTTAGGTGCACTGTTCTGGTGTATGCATAGGAAAGCCGATCAAGTGCACAAAGAACGTGGTTGGCAAGCCAGTGCCAATGTCAAATGTGCATCTACAGTACTGTCTGAAGTTAAAACTTGTCATCCTTGTAAAATCAGATTATATTCTCCTCATGTATGCATTCAATGAACATTTTAGTCAATGGCTTGATTCATTAGCAGATTTCCAGAAGTGTTCATTCTAAGCCAAATATTTTTGTCATTTAATACTGTTCCTRTTTGCACCAGTAATATTATCCTGGCCAATCACAGAATTAGAACAACAGCTAGAATAACAAAACCRGTAAAACAAAAACAAATAAACAAAAACCCCTTGTGATTTATCTTCAGATCTATGTAACTAGTACAAGTTTAAGTTTTCAAGGTCAAATGTGAACAAGCAATCTGTAGACCAGGAGTTATTTGCAAAAAATAATTCTATTGAATATTGTCACRAATTAATGGCAGATTGTATAATGACAGCTTCCAAATGAAAAAAGTGAGAGACTTTCAAAGAAATTTCTCTGAAAGTGCAGACTTGAATTCCTAGGATTCTGGTTTCCGTACTAAGATCAGTGAAAGTGAGAAAAATAGTGTGTTTCTATATCATACTGGCATAGGAAGACTTCTAGCACAGCTGTTTCTGTGATRTGTAACCACAGAATCATGGAACAGGTAAGAATGGAAGGGACCACAGTGGATCATCTGGTCCACACTCCTTGCTTAAGCAAGGTCATCCCAGAGTACATGGCACAGGATTGTGTCCAGAAGGTTCTTGAATATCTCCAGTGAGGGAGACTCTGCAACTTTTCTGGGCAATTTGTTCCAGTGCACAGTCACTGCACAGTAAGGAAGTTCTTCCTCATGTTTAGTTAGAATCTCCTGTGCATCARTTTCKGTCTGTTGCCTCTTATCCTGATGTTCAGCACCRCTGAGCAGTGCCTGGTTCATCCTCTTGGCACTGCCCCTTCAGATACATAGACCGATGAGGTTCTCTCTCAGTCATCTCTTCTTGAGGCTCAACAGGCCCAGCTCCTTCAGCTTATCCTTGTAAGAGAGATGCTTCAGTCCCCAAATAAATATAAATGCTGAAGCTTCAAAAAACACTATTTCAAAACAAAAACAATGTTCTTCTGTCTCAGTTTCCCCATGCCAAAAAACAAAGGAAATAGATTAGCTCACTCATTAACTTTTACTGCGCTGATGTTTCTTGCTTTAATAGTTTTTTTTTACACTGACTATGAAAGAYCCGTTTATGTAACGATTAATAACTGATGGGATGAGTCTGATACTTTCAGATAAAAAAGAACGCTCATTTCGATTTCATCTTTACTTAAATACCAAATACAAATGGCATTTCTTTGTTCCTATATTTCCTCAGATGATCATTAGTTCAAAAACTAAAAGTTAGTGAGTTACCATAGTGATTTTTGCTTCATTTCCCTGACACTGGAGYCTCTAATGTTTACATCCAGTCGGTACCATCTTTATTGAAATATTTCTTCTTCTGCTAGACTACAATTTGTGTCACAGCCTCTTTACTTTAATGACTAGGGGAATGKAAGACTCTGAACATTAGCCTTCCATGTTGTAATTTAATTTTTGTGAGAAGCTGAAAGATTTCTCTTAGCAAATGCTTGTTTGAACTAGCACATTTAGTATTTGTATTTTGATACATGAGAATCTTCCCTCTTACTTGCAGTTGTTTCAAATCTGGWCCATCTGAAAACTTCAAGTGCAACACATGATCATTATAATATGCTAGGAAAATGTGTATCTTTTCATAGAAAAATGACATGTTTTACCTGGCCTATTATAGTTTCATAGAAAGTAAAATTGTAAAAGGCATTCGTCAATTATACATGGATTTAGTGTTTTGTATAGGCTAGGAGAAAATAAATATTTAAGTTAAAAATTTGTTTTGTTGTGTCTTCAGTATCAAATAATTTTTTGTGCAATGTTGAAACTCCCATGCAGTGAAGACAGTGGAAAAAAAGCTTTACTAATCTGGTAGGAAAGCACTTCCTTTTACTAAGAAGGCAAAAAGAGCACACACGCAAACACACACACAGTATTCTGGGAAACACWGAGTTTCTCTAAAGTGAGGCTTTCTGAAAGTATAAAAATGGAGAGGAAGGCTGTCAATTTAATTACCACCTTTTAAAATCTTAATTGGAATACTCGATTGACTCCCTGGTCTGTCATCACATAGAGGTGTTCTGTCAAAAAAAAAATTATGATTTTTGCTGGTGGTGAAGAAGGTGCGTGGACTTTCAGGGAAAAGAAGTCTTTCCCTATTTGTGGGCAGAATGGATCCCCAGAAGGTGCTGTCTTAAAGGATATTTCTGCAGTTGGTTGGAGTTTGGGTTATACAGTGACAGTGAGATTTCAGGGTTTAGTAAATATTTTCTTGTACTGAGTAAGAGAAGCAATCTCTGTGTGAGATGCCTTTCATATGTTATTTTCAGTTGCTGAGAATGCTCAACCTTGACATTTTAAGACAGAAAAATTGAAGGGTATTGGCCCTATATTTGAAGAGAAGTAATCTGATTGTAGAAGTGAGAGTGACACCTAATTGTAGTGTACCAAGTGGACCAAATTTCAAAAATGCTTGTCTTGGTGCCTCATATCAAACACAACCCTTCATGCTTGATTCTTTCAGCAAGGGGAATTTGTGAAGCAATCAGTGGGACCATCAGATAGTTGATA